AGGAGCACCGCTACCTGCAGACCCTGTCCACCAGAGACCCTTCCCTCCTTTGGATCTGCCTGAAAGGCTCAGGGGTCAGAAGGTGCCACGGGTGACCTGGGGTGACCTCTGTCTTCCCTTTCTCACCGTGGGGCCAGCCTTGCTGTCACCAGTGCTGAGACCCACTGGCAGCCCTGAAGGGCTAACAGGAAAGGTTACTCTTATCCAGAAATGCCCTGGTGGGTTTGCCCTGGTGACTCAGATGGCAAAGAATCTGCCTGCAGTGCAGGAGACCTGGGTTCGACCCCTGGGTCAGGAAGATCCCCTGGAGGAGGAAATGGCCACCCACTCCAGTATTCTTGCCTGGAGAATCCCATGGACAGAAGAGCCTGAGAGCTACAGTCCATGGGGTCGCAGAGAATCGGACACGACTGAGCGACTAGCATGACAGAGAACAGCCTCAACAGAGCTCCCCTCGTTCTTGGACTGAGCGGTGGCTGAGTCGGAGACAGGTCCCCAGGCTTCTTCCAGGAGACAGCGCTTTGCTTCAGGTGACGCGTGGGGGGCGGGCGGAGCAGAGCCGGGGAGAGCAGCGGCCGCAGCCTGCCAGGTCTCCCCTCCACAGGCCTCCTCTGAGCCGTCCTCTCAGTGTGGCCCGGACCCCCAGGCTTCAGGGTTCGTCTCTGCCGGGGCAGATTTGAGCCAGAGTCCTGTTCAGTCACTTGGATCGGGAGGCCCCACCCTGGGTATGGGACCCTGGAGACTTCTGATCATGTTCCCCATCTTCCATGTCCCCTATGCGAGGTCTGACCGCTCTGCCTGCCTGCAGCAAGAGTCCTGTCAGGATGGTTTAGCCAGGACCCCTGCCCCCACCCCCCAAGGCTGGATGTTTCCTCTTAGAAACCTTCCACCCCCTGACCACCCCCTCCCGCACCACCCTGCACCGTGGCTGCAAATCTCCACCTTCCCTTGTGGTCGCTGGCGCGGAGCCCAAGCCTTCTTTCCTGCCGCAAAACCCCGGCAGGGCTCCCTCCAGCTGTCACCAGGGCATAAATAAAGGCTTCGCTGTTCTTTGTCAAGTGTCGGAAATAAGTTTCTTTTCTTTGACAGCTAGAACAACATTTTGAGCCGTCCTTCAGAATTTCCCTGGGGTCACCGTGCAGGTATTCTAGGGCTCCGTGGAGCCTTACAATCACAGCCATAGGAGACAGGGGTGACCCACAACACGGGTGGGAGACCATGTGCAACCAGGATCACCAAAGGCCCAGACAGACGGGCGGACACACAGGGAGGAGACCCCAGGCCTAGGGTGAGAGTGTTTGGTGAAGCAAGAGGTCCACCCACAGTTGTCTCTGCACCGGCTGGACTCTGGTGTCTCTTAGCACAGGAGGGAGGACCACCGGGTGCGCTGAGTCTGGGAGCGGGAGGACACAGTTCTGCGCTCCAGGCCTGGGAGAAGGCGGACCACAGGGGAGGGAGCGGAGCTGGGGGCAGGTCTGGTTCCGGACAGGGAGGGGGCGGGGCCACTTTCTCAGCAAGCAACCCATTGTCAGACTGAGCCTGGAGCACACGAGGCCCACCCCTGTTGGAGGTTTTGCTGTTGCATCTTATAATTCATCAGAAGTTCTCAACAAGGGGTCTGGCATTTTCATCTTCTATCTGGCCCCCCAAACTATGTAGATGATCCTGGGGCTGGAAGGGGCCAGAAGTTACTGGGTTTGCAGGGTAGGAACTTTCAGGAAGCAAATCCTGAGACCACAGGAAGAGTCCGAGCTGACTAGGAGTTACAGCTGCCAGATGTTCACAGAATACCTCACCCTCACCTGGAGAGGGCTTTAGCAACCAGGGAAGTCCTTTAAATTGCGCTTCATCTGTATCAGCTGTATCAGTTTCGCCTTCTATTCCAAATCACGCTTGTTTTAAAGCAAAAACCGGTTCTTCAGGTTTCTGTGTAAACTCAAGTCTTCCAGGTTGATGTTCAGTTGCTCAGTCGCGTCCGACTCTGTGACCCCGTGGACTGCACCACGCCAGGCCTCCCAGTCCTTCACCAACTCCCAGAGCTTGCTCAAACTCTCGTCCATCCCATCTCGTCCTCTGTCCCCTCCTCCTCCCCACTTCAATCTTTCCCAGCCTCAGGGTGTCTTCCAAAAACCGGTTCTTCAGGTTTCTGAGTAAACTCAATCTTCCAGGTAATACTCCTTGATTAACGAGCTGGGGCTTTGGGACTTCTCTGGTAGTCCAAAGGTTAAGAATCTGTCTTACAATGCAGGGGACACAGGTTTGTTCCCTGGTCTGGAAACTATGACCCACGTGCTGCAAGGCAAACTAAATTTGCACACCAAAACTAAAGAATCTCTGACCTGCAACAAAAGATCCTGCTTGATGCAACGAAGATCTCCAGTGCTGCAATTAAGACCCAATGCTTCCAAATACATAAATAATTTAAAAAGAGAAGCAAAGGCATAGAGCCGACCACTGACCCCCAGGGAAAACTCAAACATCCCTCCCCTCCCCGAAGGGATTGTTCCAGAAGGGATTGTTGTTGTTGTTCAATCATTCAGTCATGTTTGACTCTCTACAACCCCATGGGCTGCAGAACGGCTACCCTTCCTTCACCGTCTCCCCGAGTTTGCTCAACTCATGTCCATCGAGTTGCTGATGCTGTCCAACCATCTCATCCTCTGTCGTCCCCTTCTCCTCCCGCCTTCAATCTTTCCCAGCATCAGGGTCTTTTCTGATGAGTAGGCTCCTTGCATCAGGTGGCCAGAGTATTGCGAGTAAGTCATAAACATGACTGGAAATTCCATGTGGATCTAAAACACATACAGGGAAAGAGAGACATCTTGTGGGCTTATGTCAGCATTACATCACAGATGCAGAAACTAACACAACTTAATTAGATAACACCACTGAACTGTAGACTTCTAGAGTTGCACATTATTCCGTAACACACCTCTCAGGATTTTAAAAGATGGAAGAAACAGTTTATTTTGCTTATGGGTAAATGCAGCAGGTGAAAAGAATAGCTCTCCATAAAGCAAAATATCAGAATATTCAAAGAACAAATAGCTTTCCATTTTGAGTTCTTGTATATAAGAACTTGAGTTCTTGATATAAGCCTTGACTTCTAGACAAAACCTGTTAGCCATTTCAGTGGAATCATGTTAATAAATAATCAACTTAATTAACCTTTAAATTATGTTATTCTTCAAGGCATTAACTTTGAGAAGTTACCAAGGATATGGGGGGTGATGATGAGGGTGTGGGGCAAGAATTGAGATTATAGCTGGATTCTCTAAACAGCTGCCTGGACTCCAGGCACAAGGGTCCCCAAAATCAGAACCAGAATCTAGACATTGCTCAGGTCTTAGGACAGTCTGACAGAAAAACAATTTTCCTTGGAAGCTTGATCAAAATTTTAAAATTGCTTAAAAAAAAAACCCAAACAAAAAAAACCCCAAACCAAACCTCTTCTTTTTTTTTTTATTACTTTTTAATGTGGGTTGGATGGAGATATTACCTATTTTCCAAACTAGGTAACATCATCAATAAACTGTGAATACGTCCTCACTGTATGGTAGAGCCTATGGGCTTGGCCCTGTCCTTTTCATTTTACCCTTAAATTACAGCCACTCCTCTGCAAGGAAATAGCAGCTCAAACAGATCACTTGCTTGAGAGTTTAAAGCCGGGTGTGTGGCTCCAAAGCCATTGCTCCCCGTTTTCTGCAACGTAGACACATGCTTGTTTGTGTCCATCACAATGCTGCCGTTGCTCAGTCCTAAGTCGCGTCTGACTCTTTGCGACCCCCGGACTGCATCACGCCAGGCTTCCCTGTCCTTCACCATCTCCCCGAGTTTGCTCAAACTCATGTCTATTGAGTTGGCGACGCCATCCTACCATCTCATACTCTGCTGCTCCCTTCTCCTCCTGCCTTCAATCTTTCCCAGCATCAGGGTCTTTTCCAATGAGTGGACTCTTCACATCAGGTGGCTAAAGTATAACACAGTATGTGTGGCCATTCTTATGGGAGAGGAAAAATGTCATTTCCAGCATTCTCTAACCAGTGGCCAACACCAACTTTCATTATGAACTACAACTATACTTGTTTTTGCACAGCCTGCCAGGTAAGAATGATTTCTACATCTGCAGATGGTTCCTCAAAAACAAAAAAATAACATACGCAGTAAAGACCCGTATGTTTCCAAAATCCTAAAATATTTACTGTGTGGTCATTTATGGAAAGTTTGCCCACACTACATTATACAAAACAGACTGCTGCTGTTTTTTTTTTTTTGCTGTATTTTTTTGTTTGGTTTTGTTCCCCCCGCCGCCCGCCCCGCCTTTGACTATCTTATGAGAAAAGCAGAAGATGGAACAAATGCACTTTCACTTCTGAACCGAAGTACTCATTATTTTTCACTTTCAATTAGAGGCAGCAAATCTGACTCACTCTGACATTCATGAAGCACCTAACGTGTACAGCACTTTGCAGCGTTTAAAAGGAAAACTCACCTCTAAGACATAAAGAACACCATTATCCAAGACAAAATGTGGCATTAATTTTTAAAAAAGAGTGCTAAGGGACAAAAAGGGGCTTCCCTGATGGTTCAGCGATAAAGAACCTGCTTGCCAACGCAGGAGACACAGTTTCAGTCCCTGGGTCAGGAAGATCCCCTGGAGAAGGACACGACAACCCACTCCAGTACTCTTGCCTGGGAAACCCCATGGAGAGAGGAGCCTGGTGGGCTACAGTCCCTGGGGTCACAAAGGAGTTAGGATATGACAAAGTAAACAAGGGGACAAAACAGGGCACATATATTGTGGTCGTGGAGGTGAAACGGGCGGCCTGGAAGGACAGCAGGATTACAGAATGCCAAGCTGGGAGGAAGGCGTCCAGGCAGGTGCAGGGCACAGGATGGCGGCAGTGAGTTCCCAGTTCCAGCAAGGGCAGGGATGTCGTGCGGGCGGGTGGACAGTGTGGAGGGAGCTAACGCTGGAGCACAAGCTGGTGCCTCCCCGACTAACGAACCCTGGGGAAAAAAAAACACAAAACACAACCACTCATTTGGGGAACCTTAGGTAAAAAGTTACTGTTAAGACCCGTTTGGCCGAGGTTGGAAGGCAGACATGGAAAGTCATCAGAACCACAGGGGCTCCTCTCCCCCTTCTCGCTTCTCCTTTCACTTTTAACCCTACTCCTGGTTTCTGCACATCCCACACTAGCCTCTCGGACGAGTACAGACGTGTCTCCAGTGCCAAGGACAGGCGACATAGGCGACTGCTGGACACCTGGTCCCTGCACTTCACAGCCAGCTTCAACCGCAGAGCGAGGACAAGCAAGGTCAGGGAGGCCGGTGTTTGGAGAGGAACACAGACGGCTTTCTTGGAAGTGGCCGGGGTCGGGGGGCGGGGGGTGTTCAGTTGCAATTTCCATCCTGAATATTTAGGAAGGAGCTGGTAGGGTCTGGGACGCCTCCTTTAATGCATGCAGTTCTTGTATGGGACGCTAAGAATTCGGACTTCCTAACCAGACGTCGAGAAGCAACGTCTGAGGCTTCCGAGCAAGGTAACCGATGGCAACAAGCAGGGATTATCAAAAAGATTCTGGTGGCAGCGGATATTCGGGAAAACTTTGATTCAAACAAGAGGATGAGGACTTGAGTGTATCCGGGAATTGCTGTAAAGTGAAGATTTTCTCTTTTTTCCCTTTTCAAGAGATTTTAAAAAGATCTGGTAGTAGCCGGCCACTGACGGGAGGCGGCGTCGCCCAGGATTCGGCCAGGCGCTGTGCTCGGCAGGGCTTCCGGGGGAAAAAAAGAGGCCGAGGAGCGCGGGGTCGGACGGCAAGTGGACACGGAAGGCGGGTGAGCTGCGGAGAACAGAGACGTCCGGGAAGACGGACTGGTCTGCGGCGACGACGACAACAACGAACGAGGCGAACCGCCCCCTCAGGCACGCCCGCGACGGCCGGAAGAACTGCTTGGGGTCCGCCCGGAGCGCGGGGGCCGCCGGGAGATGTAGTCCCCGGCCTGCGCCTGGGCCCGGGTACACTCTGACGGAGCGCGCCGCTCCAGTTAAAACTCGTGCACTGGCCCGTCAGGGAGCGGGGTCCTTCAGGGCCGGGAGGCGCCTGCAGTGACGTCACCTCAGGTCACCTCCCCCTCGGCGACGGTTTTAGGTGTCTATGGAAAGCCGGCTACACAGCAAGCCGGCAAAGGAAGACCAAACCCTACAAAGCGGAATAAGGGGACCGTCCGACGCCTCCCCGCCCTGCGCCGTTTCCTCGGGCCGTGTCCCCCCGCCGCCGCAGCGCGGCTCCGCGCCCCATTTTCCCTCAGGCGGCGCGGCGGGCAGCCCACCGCCGCGGCGAGGGGGCGGGGCGAGCTGGGGCGGGGCGGGGTCCTGGCTGGGCGGTGTCGCACGCTCGGGGGGCCGCGCCGGGTGTACCGTTCCTCTCTCCAGCGCCTGAGGTGGCTCTGGCTCGGAGAGCCGTTCGCCAGGCTCCACGGGGACCTCGGTGCACGGATGGACCCGCCCGGACCCGGCGGGAAGCGGCCCGGTAGGGCCGGGCGGCCCCGGCGGCGTCAGCAGAGGCAGGACGGGGCCGAGGCCGCCGGCCCCTGAGGCGCGCGGGCCCCGCGGGCCCGGCGGCGGCACCATGATGCCGGGCGAGACCCACTCGGCGGCGCCGGGGACGGCGGCGGACCTCTCGCGCTGTCAGGGCTGCGCGTCCCTGCAGCAGGTGCGGTGTCTGTCCCTCAGGCCGAGGGCGCGGAGGGGCTGGGCCGGGCCGTGTGGGGCGCGGGGCGGGGGTGGGGGTAGGGGTAGGGCGGAAGCCCCCCTCCCCCTCCTAGTATTGGGAACGGCTAGGGCTTCCCTGGTGGTTCAGCTGGTGAAGAATCCGCCTGCAGTGCAGGGGAGAGGGTCCCTGGTTCGATTCCTGGGTCGGGAAGATCCCCTGGAGAAGGGAAAGGGTACCCATTACCGTATTCTGGCCTGGAGGATCCCGTGGACGCAGGAGCCTGGTAGGCTACAGTCCATGGGCTTGCAACAGTTGGACACGTCTTAGCGACTTTCCGCTGCTTTCCTCAGGCTTAGAACCCGGGGTTCATTTCCTAGGTGCAGCGCAAGTGGAGGGGTGGGGGCCCTCCGGGGTTCCCTTCTCCAATCCCGAGGTTTCCCCCAAGGCTGACTCGCGAGAGAGATGAGTGGTGGCCAGAATGCCAAGGGAAGCTAATTTCTCCCAGGAAGAGGGGGTGTTTTTTTTTTTTTTTTTTTTTTTTTTACTGTGCAGGCCAGTCCTTCCGTATTTCTTGCTTGTGGGGGCGGGTGCTCATGTGGCCTGCGGGTTGGCCAGGAGGGTCATTCTTCCCCGAAGGCACGCGGGCACTGCAGGTCTCTGAAGTGTGGCGTGAAGTGTGCGCGCCCCCGGCAGAAGAGGAGCCGCTGCCAGCGTCTGCCTCATGTCCTGCGGAGTGTTCCTCTCCAGCTGGACTTCTCGCGGCCCTCTGATGTCAGGAGTCTCTCTTTTTGCCGCTGTCGTCAGTATTTTTCAGTGGTAAGGTGGGGCTGTCCACCGCGTGCGCCTGTGTGCCCAGTGGCCCTGTCGCCTCCAGCTCTTTGCGATTCATGGGCCGTATGTATAGTCCTCCAGGCTCCTTGGTCTGTCCGCGGGATTTTTTTTCCAGGCAGGAATATACTGGAGGGGGTTGCCATTTCCTTTTCCAGGGAATCTTCCTAGCCCAGGGATCGAATTTGGCAGACGGATTCTTTACCATCTGAGCCACCAGGGGAGCTCGTCCTTGTCCGGCACAGCACTGATGTGTAATTAATTAGTCCTATTCTACCAAGTGTTCTAGGCACTGGGGAGCTAGTGGTGAATAGAGTAGTGAACAGAGCATCTTGTAGATGAGGTATACGTGTGCACGTATAGAAGGTTTGAAGTGTTAGGAAAGTAAAGGAGGAGTTGGAGTGGTGGTTTTGTCCCCACTGGGGCTGCCTGGAGGGCAGGTTGTCCTTGAGCTGGTGATATTCGGGCATGTGAATAATGAGAAGCAAGACTGGAACAGGTGTGGGAGGCGCTTCCTAGGTAGAGGGTTTGACAGGTGATTGGATTTTGGAGTGAAAAGGAGCGAGGTGTCTGAGGAGCTGGAGAAGCTTCAGTGCAGAGGCAGAGCTCTGTGAAGCCACGAAGGAGGGTAGGCCCCAAGGCCGGCAGAGAAGCTGAGGGTTTGGGGTTTTGTCTTTTTATCAGCATCATCTATGAGCTGATCCCAGACATTTTAAGGGCTGGGAGCAGGGAGGGAGAGAAGAAAGTCCTACTCTGGTACTCTGAAGTAGAGGGGGAACTAATGGAAAAGTCACTGTCTGAGCTGAGTTGTCTCATGGAGGTATTTGTAACGTGCTTTTGCTTTTCCCTCAAAACCCAGGTCCATGATTGAAGTTCTCTTGAATCTTTTGTAAGTTGTATTTATTCTTTGGGCTCTTTATTCACTCTGAAAATATTTTTTGATCCCCTGCTGTGTTTTATGAAGTGCAGTTACAGCAGTGGGTGAAAAGGCAAGTATTCTTCATGTCTTAAAGCCTCTATGTTAGGAGGTTGGAGGAGGAGACAGTCAACAAGTTAGGTGAAAAGGTAATAAATGTGTTGGAAATAAATGGAGCAGACAAAGGAGGGAGGGGAATAAAAGGCTGAGGAAAGGGCCAGTGTCTGGTAGAGTTTAAGTAGGGAGTCTTGGAGGCCTCAGGGAGGTTGTCTTTGGGCAGAGAAGGTGAGGATAAGCTCGTAGATGTCTTTGGAGAGGAGCACCCCGGATGGCAGAGAGGTCCGCTGTGGTGGCCAGAGTCGCCCATGTGCTTGGGAAGCCGTGGAGGCACGGTAGCTGGGGTGGAGTGCGCGCGGGGGTCTTGGTCGGTTTGGGGCCGCCCTGGCTGGGTGACTTACAAGTGACAGGGATTCACTGCTCGCAGTCACAGTGGCCGGGAAGTCCAGGATCCAGGGACTGGCGGATCTGCTCTCCGATGAGAGCGGCATTCCTGGTTCGTGATTCCTTCCTGCTGTGCCCTCACTTGGCAGTGCTCTGGGGTTGCCTTCCTAAGAGCACAGATTGCAGCCTGAAGGCTGTGCCGTTATGACCTGTTCACCCAGCAGAGAGCCACCCTGCAGGTGCCTGTCCTGTTGCTAATTATATGTCAGCGCATGGATTTGGTGGGGGGCACAATGACCTGTGGAATCTGATGAAGTTAGGAGAGAGGCTGACCGTGGGCACCCTTGGAGACTGTCGTAAGGATGTTGGCTCTTCTGAAAGGACAGTGAGTCACAGGAGGCTTTTGTGTAGGAGGACGATGAGTGTAAATAACGCTGTCCAGTTGTGGGTCCAATTCTCCTTCAGAGAGCTGGTCTTCGTTCAGAGTAACAGCTGCATCCTCCTGGTGGCCTGGCCAGAAACTCGATGGTCACCTTGGTTCCTCGCTTTTCTCTCTCAGCCTGCATCTGCTCCGTCAGCGTACTGTCTTCTCCTCCTGGCCCCTCCGTTTCTCTCCGTCCCCACCGCTTCCACCCGCGTGTGAAACCCCTGTGATCTCTGCCCCAGAGGCTGTTGCAGTCTCCTCCTGGGCACTTCCCTCCTTCCTGCCACGCCACATTCTTCTGTTGGTTCTCAAGCCAGCCAGCAGCCGCAGGGGTTGTCCTGTGAGGTCTCTAAGTACAGGAGTCTGCAGGCCTTTTCCGAAAGGGGCAGGGTCGTAAATAGTCAGGTGGTGTGGGCTCCCTCACTGACACTCAGCTCAGCCTGTGTAGCGTAGAGGCAGCCACGGGTAGCACCGGAGGGATGGGCCTGGTTATGCTCGGGAACCCTTGTTTGTGGGATGGGACGGACACTGGTAGTGTGGACTGGAGCCCTGAGGAGTTTCAGCTGTGTTCCGTCTGGTTGTAGAGCCAGGCGCCTCCAGGTGCCACAGTCCCCTCTGGGGAAAAGCGAAGTGGCCAGATCAGATGGGCTCTGAGTTCACTGTGAGAATCTTACTTGGGGAGAGGTGGGGACGGGAGAGGGGAGGAGAGTGTTTTGTCCACGTCTGCTGGTCACTACGGTGGGTACGGAGTCACGAAGCCAGGAGAAGCAGACAGACGGGGGTAAAGAGGTCGCGTGTGGGAAATCAGGAGGGCTGAGAACAGGCGTTTTCCAGTCAGTAGGCCCACGGTCGGCCCCTCTGAAAAGCAGCTTCTGCAGGATTGCACAGTACCACAGCATGTGTGTGTCTCAGTTACAGTTGTCTCAGAGAGGGGGTCTGTCGAGAGCACACCCTGCTGTGAGCTCTGATGCATTAAGGGTCCTGGGTCTTTCAGAAGTTTACCATGCACATCAGGAGTGTCTGCCTGCAGGAGCCCCCGAGCCAGCGCTGTGGCTCCCTCCGGAGCCCCGTGGAGGCCGGCGCTCTCTGTCCCCATGGGGCAGTGCTCTGCGTGGGCTGCACGTCCTCCTCCCCATCTCACCCCTCCCGGCCCTCTTCTCTCTCTCTCTCTTTCTTATTCTGGCCATGCCTCTGGCTTGCAGGATCTTAGTTCCCTGACCAGGGATTGACGCTGAGCCCTCAGCAGTGAAAGCCTGGAGTCTTAACCACTCGACTGCCAGGGAATTCCCTGCCCTCTTTCTCTTTAGCGGGTGCAGAGATACATTGCTTTTGCTGCTTGATTTAGAAGTTTATAGATTGACCACATTTTCCTCTAGTCTCTCACATCACCTCATCTGTTTCCTCGTCCTTATTGGTTACAATGACTGATCACTAATCTGCAGCCCAGTGTCCATATGGGTTGTCGAACTTTGGAAATCCTAAACCTGTGTGGGTCCTCACACTGGTGATAATTATATACCGTTAAACAAATCTTAAGCTGAGAGGTTTTAAGTCAAGCTGGCATAAGCCCCTTTATTCTGGTAAAGGAGAGGGCCTCTCCACCCCCACCGCTTTTTTTTTTTAACTAGTTTTAGTTATTGTAGAGTAAAACATTTTAACTCTATGGAGAATCCAGATGAGAGTTTGAAGCACATAGTCATACTGTTTAGCTTATGTAACTAGAATACATTCAGAATAAATGGTGTCTGGCTGTCCTTGGAGCAGGTTTGAGCCAATTATTTATATAAATTTGTGTTGGACTTCCATTGATAATCACCAGTGGTTTCAACTTCCGTTCTTTGCAACTTGAAACATACTTACCCCTAGACACACCGACATGTAAGTGGTTATCACGAATGCCCACGGAGTTAAAATTCATGCAGTGAGTGTTTTCGAGTGCCACCATGTTTGTGATCCTGTGGTGTGTGTTGGAACAATGACCGTGAACAGAAAAGGCGTGGAGCGTGAGTTGTGGTTGAGGTTACAGATGAATCAGACAGCAACCACAGTGCACGTGTCTTGCGATGAGCACTTCCTGAGAAAACCTGAGTATAAGATGGGACCCACACCTGCGTTGGGCAGAGGTCACCTGTCCTGTTCTAGGGGCTGTTCAGAGTAGGCGCCCTGGGGGCATCCAGGAGGGGGAGCTGAAGGCCTCGCGGAGGGAGTGGCTCCCGGCCAGAAGAACCCTTTGTGATATGCGAGAGGGAAGAGACGGAAGGGGAGCAGTGTGGGCAGAGGAGGTGTCACGCGCAGAGACTGGCAGCGGAACGGGGTCTCTGAGTGACCAAGCCCAGGGCAGAGGGCCGGGGAGGAAGGGGCCCGCGGGGCTGGAGCCTGCCCACCCCGGAG